CCCTCCCCCTCATTCTCTCTCTCTGTCAATTAATTAATTAATTAACCTAAATAAATAATAAAAAAACAAATGATGCAATACCTGTGTCTAGTTAGGGAGCTTCTGCTGGCCCAAAGGTAGTGGGGTGGTGGTGGAGGGAAGTAAAATTAGGACCACAAACCACTCTCCTAGTGTTAGAATTTTGTCTCCTTAAGATCTGCTAAGAACTTACAAACTGTTCATTTCTGAGATCTTGCATTGCCTTAATAGTAAAAGCTTATGTGCAATGCTTTCTCTCTCTCCCTCTCCCTCTCTCTCTCACACACACGCAAACACACACACACACACACACACACACACACACACAGCCTCTTACTGCATGAGTGAAGGATGCTTGTGGCTGGAACTCCCACAAATGTTGTCTGCTATACTCCTTTTGACAGTCATCCTTAGCCTATGTGAACAGTGGCTGCTCAGAGAGCACAGGGACAGAACAGAGCCTGCTTTCTAAACCTTACCTGCAAAAAGCACGGACCCAGCCAAAGAAAACAGGTTTCCCAAACTGGGCTGATCAGAAGGACCACCTGAGATGCAGAGTGAACACAGGCTGGTGGGCGCTGCTCCAGCCCCCCTAAATCAGAAACTCCAGAAGTGGTTCTCAGGATCAGGCAAGCCCGGAAGACAGTGTGCTGCAGGGATCGAAGTTCACCAGGACAGAAGGAAGGGCACTGACCCACGGTTAGCTGAAACAGTGTGCTGGTATCTTCTGTTCCGCTGAATGAAGGCCGGTGCCCGAAAGGGTACTGGCTAGCCAAGCCATTTCTACTTCTCTGCTGGTAAAATAAAACTGTGCTCCATGGGTCTTGTGATAATGAGTTTTCTACAAGTAATGATCCAGTAATATCAAATACTTCTTCCAGTGTTTGTCCATGTAGCCGTCTTTCTTCATAATGATGGAGAAAATTGGACTTGAATTGAATCTGAGCTATTTGCAGTTCTGACCTACTGGCCTGACACTAAATAGCAAGTGGCTCTCATCAGTCCTTAGTCCTTCCTCTTTAAAGATTTTATATCTTGTATGTTATATATAAGATATATATGTATGTATACACACACACACACACACACACACACACACACTCTTATGCTTCTAAGTCAGAAAAATAAAGAGGAAAGATAGGGGAAGGGGAGGAGAGGGAAGGGGGAGGAAGGGAAGACAAGACCCACCCACTACTCCACAACACAGAGAAAGTTCTAGCATGGCAGCAGCATACTGAGCAGGAGCAGTGTGTAAATTATTTTTTAAGTTAGTATACTAACAAGTTGTCTAAACTAAGAGAGCCCTTTGGACCATGTAATTTAGTCATAAACTAAAAATATATATTTTTTTCATGGAGTTATTTTTCTTAAGATCTTACTTAAAAATCCAAAACATAAAAGAGACAACAAGCAGAGCCACCTAGTTAAATTGCAGATGAACAGGAGAGAAAGGACCACATCACAGCCCCACCTGCTCTGCCACCCTCACCTGTGGGCCACCGCTGTGAAACCTCAGAGCTCCAAGGACATAAACGAGAACCGTCTATGAGGGCCAACTTCTTTATTTTATGCCCAAAGCAACTCTCAAGACCCAGGGATAAGTGGGGTGGCCACTTGTTTTTATGATTCCTGGGCCAGTGCTCTTTGCTGAGGCCAAGTCTCCGTCCCTTCTTCCCCGACACGTCTCATAACATAATGCCTTACAATACCATATGCCTGTCCCATAGTCATTAAAATGACTAACTCCCACTTTGAGCTGAAACAGATGTGCACACTGACCTTGCACTCCACAAATGCTGTTCTGCCTGTATCAGGCATATCCCAGTCCTGCCTGCAGTCCTGACTATATACCATACTCCGTGCCCAATCTTAACCAATGGATTTTTAAAAACCTTTCAAATTGGGGCACGTGGGTGACTCAGTCGGTTAAGCAACTCAGGTCATGATCTCACTGTTCGTGAGTTGGAGCCCCGCGTCAGGCTCTGTGCCGACAGCTTGGAGCCTGGAGCCTGCTTTGGATTCTGTGTCTCCTTCTCTCTCTGCCCCTCCCTCGCTCACACTCTGTCTGTCTGTCTGTCTCTCTCTCAAAAATAAATAAACATTAAAAAAAATTTTTTTTAACTTTCAAATTGAGGCGCCAGCTACAGACTTGTTAACAATCCAGTTAACCATTTATCCATCGATGGGTCTTAACTCTGGCTGCAAAGTAGAGTTGACTCAGAAAAAGAAAGATCTGTGTCCAAGCCCCATCCCCGCAGGTTTTGATTTGATTCTTTCAGGGGAAACGCGTGCATGGTAGGTGGAGACTCTCCTCAGATACTTTTATATGCAGCCAGGACTGCAAATCACTGAGCTATTTGAATTAGTATTAGAGACTACCAAAGATTTTACTTTGAAGGTATTTTTAAAGAAATCATTGTATTAAGTGATGGGTGTATGGATGAAGTCCTCATATCTAAATCTGTTACTACTAGCGATGATTCAGTGTATCTCTAACAAATATGATAGCTACTTCATATACTGCAGGTCTAAAGATAAGCCCTGAATTGCCCTAAAAGGAAAGCATCACTGACTCCTATGTTCACTTCCAGATTTACAATGTCCATTATACCATGAGTATCAATGGGAAATTACAAGATGGGTCAATGGAAATAGATGCTGGGAACAACCTGGAGACCTTTAAAATGGGAAGTGGAGCTGAAGAAGCAATTGAAGTTAATGATTTCCAGAATGTAAGTATATTTCACACATTTAGAGAGTTAAACCAGGCAAGTCCAGAAGACTTTCCTAATCCCCAGAGAAGCAGCATCTCACACACATCCCAATGTAACCGTTCTTTATGGCAGTTATGGTGCCACTGACCCCCATGCATATTCCCTCTGAGAAAGGCCCACTCTTTGTCCTTTATATTTTCAGAATGAAAAACACAACACCTTGGCACTGAAAAGAACAAGTTCTTGGAACTATATAAAGTCTTGGCAGAAGGACTTGAAAGAGCTATTTCTTTCCAAGCAGCTTTCTATAACATGATGAATAAAAGACTCAGTATCCTAGAATGTTGCAAAGTCTGAAATGTGAACTTAGAGACAAGAGGCAAACTGTAATGACTTAACAATCTTATCAACAACAGGTGGGATCTATTTACATACTTTGCTCAACTCTTCAGATTTCCCATTTCACCCAGAAAATTAGCATGGAGTAATTCCCCTATTATAATCCTATGTTTTCTGACCGTGGCCAATTACTGATAAAACATTCGCGTCTGCTTTGAAAGGGGAGAACACATTTGTTTTCAAAAGTTCAATTTGCAGGCAATTTAGCCCTCACGCTTTGTGCTTCAGTGGACATCTGCATCACAGTATCGTTCCTGGCCCTCTTTCCTGTTGGCCATAAATATCTTCTTCTCTTCCTGTTCTAAGACGGGGAAGAGGCATCACTGTTTGTGTTCTCCCGTTAAATCTGTAGATGGAGTAGGTGAGACTCCATAATGAAAAAAGGCACTTGAAAATAATGTCTCTTCTGATAGTTTATTGGCCTGCACACATCTCATCGACCCACCTTGTGCCGATTGATGAGAAAAACCAGAGATGCTTTTCATTTGAATGAAAGAACTCCCTTTGCTGATGCCAAAAGGCATTTCACAAGTCCTACTGAATACCAAACAGATGCTAACCTTTGGACTCCCGTGCTGTTAGGTATTGCTCATGACAGAGACTGGCTCTGCTCTGCCTGGGGAAGGGGGAGGGGGCGGGCTCTGCAGCCCTGTATGTGACCGGTGTACTTCGTTTAATCAGAGCTTTGCAAATGGTTCTGGTCAGTGCAGAAAGATAATTTCTCTGGGCCTATTAAAGGCTTTTACTGCCAGACCCAGGACAAGGCAAAAGCATTTTTTCTTTGTACTACTCAATGTAAAATGATAAAATGTGACTCCCACACACACATCATTCAATCCAGAACAAAATTGAATACCTATGATGTGCCACAGTATCAAGATATGCAAAGGTAGCTTCACAGATGAATGAGAAAAGATCCATCTCTCTCAAAGGGGCATGAATCAGGAGTATACTTTTAAAATATTTTAATCCCAGGCCTATATTTCTGTTTTATAATCCTCTGGTTCTAATAATGGTATTGATTGTGTTTTGTTCTCATAAGCCAACAGGGCCACAAATATTTTATAAGCTGATCAATTCTCTTTGATAGCTTCCACATTTCTCTAAGTCAGAACTGGTGAGTAGGACATTTTTTTGATGGATAGAACCTGTTATGGGTTTAAACAAGCCTGGACTTTTGAAAACACATGAATCAGCCACTATGGTACTGGCACTATTACTTTCTCCTATACATTAAACCAACAGTCAGATCCAAGAGGTGTTTATTTTTCAGGGCCTACTGTGTGCATGGGACAGTATGAAGCATGAGGGATGCAAAGATGACTGATACCTGCTCCCTCCCTCCTGGACCTTACAGTCCAGGCCAGGGTGCGGGAGGGGGGGGGAGGGGTGGGTTGGGGGGCGCAGACATTCTTCACAGAAGCGACTTCGGGTCAGCCTGGGAGATGTGCTGCCACAGAGCTATAAACGCAGTGCTGTGGGTCACAGAAGGGGGCAGTTGTGTGCACTGAGGGCATTGAATCAGGTTTTACAGAGGTTGTGACAGTTGAATCAGGTCTCGAAGAATGATTAGGATTTCAACCAGCAGAGAAGTAGAGACTCAGAGGAATACTGAATACAAATGCACAGGCCTGCTCTTGAGTTCTAAGTAGCCCAACATGGCAGAATGGTGGGGAAGGGGAGCAGAGGCAGGGGCCAGATGAGGAAAGGCTCTGAACTGTAAGGGAACAGTCTCCCCTGGTAACCTAGGACCACACCAAGGTTTTAGTAGAGCCAATAGGAAGAAAACCCTCCTGAGAGGGAATAGCACTGAACAGAGGACTCCAGTCTCCATAGTGTGAAAGAAAAATCATTCAGGGCACTTGTTAAAGAAGGGAAGAGGACCATGTTCAAGGGAAGCTACTACAGTGGGGTTTTATAGTAGGGGAGAGAGATTGCGTTCAACTCTGAATACAGTAAGGAAAAGGGGCAATTTATAGCCAAGGAGCAGAGTGGGGATATCAGTGGATAGAAAGTTACTAAGAGGTACAGTAGTTTTTTACTAAACCGAACCAACAGGATTTTTTTGAAGCCAAGCCAAGGTGATCAGATATCGAGGCAGACTCAGACTCAGATACTTGCTAAAACTGGAATAAACTGGCCAAGACAGAGCCCACAGTCAGGGCCTAGGCAAAAAGAGGACCAGAGGAACCTGACTAGAGTTGGGTCAAGGAAGGTCTTCGTCAGTACCCCAAGGAATACAAAAAGGGGTTTGTTCAGAGTGCGTGAGTTACGTTCTAAAAAGTTTTGCCCTCAAAAGTATCAATGCTATTGGTTTAAGCCAACCCTTTCAGACTTAATGACTCATTTATATAATAATAACCCTGGTTAGAAATTAAGATAGAATAAACTGATATGTATATACAGGTGTTCACTACACAATTTCTTTTAACTTTGTGTATATTTGAAAGTTTTAATTTACAAAGCTAGAGAAAAATAAAATAGCATAACCTACCTCACAGATAGGTAGGTTAGTGATTTCAAAAATCGACATAACCCTTCCTCAAAAAATTAAAAATAGAAATACCATATGATGCAATAATTCTCATGCTGAGTATTTACCCAAAGAATATGAAAACACTAATTCGAGAAGATACATGCACCTCTGTGTTCATTGCAGCAGTATTTACAATAGCCAAGATATGGAAGGAACCCAAATGTCCATCATTAGATGAATAAAGAAGATGTGGTACAGATAAATAGGCAGATTAGATAGATAGATAGATAGATAGATAGATAGATAGATATAAAGTGGAATATTACTCAGCCATAAAAAGGATAGCATCTTGCTATTTTCTACAACATAGATAGATACCTAAAGGGTATTATGCTAAGTGAAATAAGTCAGACAGAGAAAGACAAACACCATATGATTTCACTTACATATAGAATCTAAAAAACAAATGAATAAACAAAAAGTAAAAAACAAAAAGCAGAATCAGACCTATAACTACAAAGAACAAACTGATGGTTTCCAAAGGGAAGAGGGATAAGGGGTTGGGCAAAATGGGTGAAGGGGAGTGGGAGATTCAGGCTTCCAGTTATGGCATGAATAAGAGTAGAGTCAATGGTATCGTAATAGGTTGTATGGTGACAGATGGTAGCTATGCCTGTGGTGAGCACTGTATAACGTATGGACTTGTTGAATCGCTATGTTGTACACCTGAAACTAATGTCACATTGCGTGTCAACCATACTCAAAAAAAGTTTAAAAAGTCAACATGGCTCCCAACTAAAACAGAATAGAAAAGTAAAACCAGAGTAACTTATAATCTAACTTGGACTTCAATATGTTCATGCTCAGGCTGACGAACTCAAAAACATCCTGAAGTCAGATGCTTGCTCCCATAGGTGAATTGCTGTCAGTGCCGCAGCCTAAAATGCAGACTGATTTAAGCGTGTGTTGGCAGATTAAATACCAGCCTGTTTTCTCAAACAGTGAGCAAAACTACCATCTTCTATTTTCATAGTAATTGCATTCCTAAGAATGTCATCATCATACATGGAAACTTTGCCAAAAGTCGCTTTGTCTTTATACGTAAAAGGGTGTTCGAGTGTAGGCACAGATACTTACAATCAGGTTTTTCCCCCAGGCCCCAGGGCAGTCAGGTCTTCGGGGCTTCCCTGGGCTCTCTGGGGCCCAGCATCCCTGGGCTCTGCCTGAGGAAGCCCAGGAGAGCCCCAGTCTTTGTGACAACTCAGAACTCCCTGAACGATTTCTAAAGTGCCCTCTTGGGAACTTGTTGGGAACTTCTGGTTGAAGCCACAGAAATCCTATGAGATCCTCTAGAAAGAAAAACTGTGCAGCTACAATGAGATTGCCTGACTCTTAATTATTAAAAGAATGTGAGAGCATTGGACTCTTCCCTCATTATCTTTGTTAGCAAATTTCTTCATTATCACCAGCTTCTGAGGCCTTGTTTGTTTGCAGAAGCAGGAGGTTTGCTTGGCTTTCTTGTGCTTTTCCATTCCTGCTGTTTAATCTCTTCAAAGATCTGGCTGCGTGATATGGATTTGTAGCCAGACGAGGTGTTTCAGACGTGTGAATTCCTTCCCACAGGACCCATCCCTATGGGGCTTCGGCTCTCTTTGCAGTGTGTAGACTGTCAGAACTAACTAAACACGAGATTCACATCGGGGCTGTGAATCCTTTGACAGAATCAGCTCTCTCCTTGGGGGATATGGCGACGGTTATATGGTGTTTCCCCCTCGCACCTCACATTCAGAGGATATAAGGGTGTGAAGTGAAAAGGACATATGGCACGGGGGCAGCAGTACTCTCCCCCCCACTGCCTTCTGTTTTTCAAACCATGAGCCCTAGATGTGCATGCAGAATACGAGCAGCAGGTCTGCAGGAGAGAGCAGAGAACAGTGGTTCTCAAAACGTGTTCCCTAGGCCACCAGCAGCGGCAGCACCTAAGAGCTTATTGGAAGTGCAGAGTTCAGTCCCCACTCCAGACCTGGATCAGAATCTCCGGGGGCAGGGCCCAACACTATTTTATTTATCAAGTCCTCCAGGTGATTTTGATGCAAGGGAAAATTGGTGAGCTGGTGGTATAGAAGAATCCTGGATTCAAAGGCTGTGTCTTAGCTCACGCACGCTGCCGTAACAAAGTATCATAGACGGAGTGACTTCTAAACCGCAGGAACCTCTCACAGTTCTGGAGGCTGGTTGGTCCAAAATTAAGGCACTAGCTGATGAGGGTCTATGGTGGCCCTAGTTTCTGGTTCATAGTTGGCCTGTCTTCTCACTGTGTCCTCACGTGGCAGAAGGGGGGTGAGGGAGCTCTCTGGGGTCCCTTTTATGAGGCACTAATCCCACTCACGAGGGCTCTGCCTTTAACTTCCCAAAGGCCTTACCTCCAAATACCACCGCATTGGGCGTTAGGTTTCAACATAGGTACTCGGGTGAGGGGACAAAAACAGTCAGTCTACAGCAGGTGGTTTCAGTCATTTAAGAACGTTGTCACCTTGAACAAGTTGTTTTCGCCCTAACGCGATGGTCCTCGACCCCAGGTTTACATTGTAACGACACAGGGAGCTTTGAAGCATCCCACTGTCTGGGCACTGCCCCAGGCCAGTGAAACGGGAATCTCTGGGGAGAGCCCCAGGCATCCATGGTTTTAAAATCTGTCCAGGTGGCTTTGGTGCAGTGAGTTGAGAAGTCGCACGGTAAACCTGGAGTCCCACCTCCTGGAGAGTGAGGGGATGTTGCTACCACCGCTCTCTGGGTGAGAGGTGATGCTAAGACGAACATGTCACATGTGCGATCATGGCCAATTAGGCCACAGGGGAGAGCACAAGGAGCTTCAGGAAGAACGAGCCTTTCCTTCTGTGCTCTCTGCTCTGTCACCAGCGTTTGCAGGGCTGCTGGCTCTCAGATTACAAACGGTGCGACTTGCCACGAGTGTCTTCTAGCATGACTTACATTTGACTCAGTTCTTCACCAAGGAGGGCAGTGTCCTGAGCCAAGCCCCGGAGGTTTCTAAATGCTCTTCCTCCCCCACTGTGCGGCACTGATGCTGGAACAAGGTCGTTATCTTCCTGACATTTGTCCCAACTGAACAGATTGACAAGTTGAGGGGTTTGGGTTTCTGTTGGTGTCTATGTTGTTCGGGCATAAAATCTGTAGGCCTTTCATACTGCTTTTGGCCACTCACTCGTCATGAAATTCACCAGCAGGGTGAAAGGAAACACTCTTGGGACAGAACGTACTGTTGTGCCTGATGCACCCGAGGTAGCATCGGCACCGAGCGGTCAGCCAACACCGGAGCCCCGTGGACGAGGTTTCCCTTAAGACCAGTCCCTAGGCTGACAAGGAGACACTGTTTGTGTCACACAGGGGACAAGAACAAAACATCTGAGTCCTCAGGTAAGGTCTAGGAACAAAGGTCAGTTCCTGGTGTTGTCGAAGTGTTGCTATTTCCCTGGCTGGGTGACCTGGGAAAAATCGGAATTAATTAATCCATGGAATTAATTAATTGGGCCCCCATCTTTTGAGAACCTTCGTGGGATCACCAGAAAGATAAAAGATTCCGATACCAATGTCAAAGAGGCTTATCATTGAGTGGGGCCAGGACCTTGACCAGGAGTGACCGCACAGGCACTGAGAACTAAGTGCCACAGGAGGGAATGAAGACTGGAGAGCTTACGGGAAATCAGGGTCAGAGAAAGCTGCCTGGACGAGGCAGCATTTCATCTGAGCCTGCTTGGGTTAACGGAGCAATGACCATACTCCATGTCAGTTCACATGCCCCTGACTGGGGCCTCCCCGACCACACTGTCAAAAGTACCACCTCTGTCATTCCTGTCTCACACTCTGCTGTATTTTTCTCCATAGCACTTACCACCACCTGACTTCCCCTCTGCCTTTTATTTTTGGTAAATAACACAACGAGGTAAGCTCCGTGAGTGCAGACATGCCATCTGTTCTGTTCATGCCCATACCCAGTGCCTGGAACAGTGCCCGGTTCGCGGTAGACACTCAACACATTGAGTAAATGAACCAATGGATAGATGGATGGATAAAATTTTATTTCCTAGGGCATCACCGGAATCCGTTTTGCTGGAGGAGAAAAGTGCTACATCAAAGCACAGGTGAAGGCTCGTGTTCCTGAAGTGGGCACCGTGACCAAACAGAGCATCTCCTCCGAATTGGTGGGTACCGCCCGCATGCTTCAGACAGCAAGGGGGTCTGGTAGGCATCATTTGAATCCACAACCCTTTCTGTCTCTCATTCCTGTATAGCTTTGTGACCAGAATACAGATTCTATTCCTTCTCTGCCAAAGGAGTTGGAACTATTTTGGTCCTCCTTGGCAATTCCAAGTGATCATTCTTATATGACATGGTATACCATATATTTTTTAATGTTTATTTATTTTGAGAGAAAGAGAGAGCATGTGTAGGGGATTTGCAGAGAAAGAGAGAGAGGGAGAATCCCAAGCAGGAGCCACACTGTCTCTGTGCAGAGCCCAATGCAGGGCTCAATCCCATGAACTGTGAGATCGTGACCTGGGGCGAGATGAGAGTCAGACGCTTAACCAACTGAGCCACCCAGGTGCCCCAGTAAACCATATTTTAAAGTGCATAAAAGGGCTCGGTCTTCACATGGCTCTCATTTGCCTAATGTTGGGGAACTATCCGATTAGTAATGAAAACAATACAAAGGACGTCTCATAACAGAATCTTCATTAGGGGCCTCAGGAGCCTTCTAGCCTCACTTCCAATCAGTGCGGGGCTCCTCCTGAAAATCTCCAGTGGCTGTGCTGGAAAGCAATGACAGGGTGCTCCCTTCCCTGGGTGCCAGGCAACTTCCTGGGGAAGGGGACAGTTCAAACCGTTATGCTCTACACTGAGTTGAGCTGGCTCCCCTGGTTTCTTTCCCTTGGCTTGAGTTCAGCCCAGTGAAGCTCCTTAACATGTATTGAATTCCTTTCCTACATGTCAGACTTGTGAGGATTTTAAGTATAATTTTCCCATTTATTATTAACAACTTGCCTCTGAGCCTGATTTTATAAAAATTTACTTTAAGAATTGCACAGAGTTCTAAAGACACATCTGATGTGTTACATTTATTTGATACTTTAGGGCTTATGAAGTGGTTCCACGTGTTATTGCCTTCCATGTGAGTTGTGGCAGGATATAGTGGGAAGAAAATAGACTTTAGAGTTAGAAAATGTGGGTTCGAATCCCAGCTCTGACACTTGCTGTGGATGTGGCTTCAATTCCTTGGACCTCGGTTTTGCCATCTACAAACTAAGGGTCTGCATCCTGTCCTCGTAGCCCTAGAACCTACCGGATAATGACTACACGGCTGCTGCTCTAAATCACTAATTCCATTATGATCAGCTTTGGTCCTTCCTGTGTCCCCGAGAGGGAGGGAAAGCAAGCATCAGCTCCCTTAAGGCAAAAGAGGAAAACTAAGGGTAAGCAGAGGTGCCTGGAAACTGCCTGGTTGCCATCATAGGAGCAGCAGGCGTCTCACAACAAAACAAAACAAAAGCTAAAACAAACCGGTGAGTTTCTAAAGCTGGCTATCATGTCCCCAGTTTTCTACTCTGCTCCCAGTTTCCCCATTCATCCTGTGAGACGGTTTCCAGACTTTCATTGCTCTAGTCATTTGGCTGTGACCATATTCCAGTTTGTTCCTCAGGAGCTGTGCCATTCAGAACAGAATGCCATGCTCAGTGTGAACCCACTAGTACGGAGTATAAAAATGAGACCAAGAGCTCCTTTGTTCTGACCCTTGAAATGTTCTTAAATTTTTTAAAATGTTTATTTATATTTGAGAGAGACAGAGCACGGTTGGGGGAGGAGCAGAGAGCAAGGGAGACACAGAATCTGAAGCAGGCTCCAGGCTCTTGAGCTGTCAGCACAGAGCCCGACGCCAGGCTCGAAACCCATGAACCGCCAGATCATGACCTGAGCTGAAGTCCGATGCTTAATTGACTGAGCCACCCAGGCACCCTGACCCTTGAACTTCTTATTGCATTACCATTTTTTATAGTCCTGTGACTCAGTTTCTGTAATGCACAAGCCTTTACATTTCCTCCTTAAGTGGACATAGAGCTGGTTCTTTTCTCCTGCCTTCCAGAAGAGCCAGCTCTCCTAACATAGCTGATGGAGATCTAATCATAAGTTTGCAGTACATTTCTGGGGTTCTTTAAAAACAAGGTTATTTTTTTTTTCCTGATATTTAGAAACAATACGTAGCCATGGTAGAAAATTGGGGAATTACATAGAATGGAGAAGAAAATCATCCACAATTGCATAATCCACAGATAGCTAATGTTAATGTTTTGGTGAATTTTTTTAATGCACGGGGATGTGTGGTTTCCTTTTCATAACTGAAGTTATATTGCTCTACATTCTTATTAATTTCACCTAACTTTAGTTATTCTAAAATGTAGATGATAATGGAGGTATTATACGTCATCAGATGATTATAATTTAAGTCTTTTGCTCTTGAATACTTAGAGCCATCTTTAATTTTTCACTATTTCAAATAATTCAAAGTAATTATTTGAATATAGAAATAATTCAGTGATGACCAGTTTAGCCTTTTACAGCTTTGCCTGCATCTGATTCTTTTCTTAGACCGTAAAGCTGAATTATTTTTTCTGTGTTTTAGTTGCTTATATTGTGCTTGGTGGACCCTCTGGTGGACAAGTCAAATGCAGGCAACGTGTTTGTGTGGATTAGGAATGTCAGTGGCAGAAAACTACACCCAGAGTGACTGAAACAAAAAGGATTTGTTTTTCTGCACAGTAGCCGATACGGAAGGAGGTGGCTGCAGGCACTGGCTCGGTGGCCAGCATCGCTGATTTTTTTTGGCCTTTCCTTCCAGCTCCAAAACATCAACCGTGCATTCGAGTACGAAGTCAGAAGGGGTTGAGCAGTGCCAAGCACGACTTCCCTTTAATTAGGAAAAGCAGGAGGTTTCTCAGCCCCCCAGTAGACTTCAGTGTGAATCGCATAGTCTAGGGCACCCCAAGCCACTGGAGGGTCTGAGAAAGCAAGCAGCCAGCCTCTCTCCTGGGGCGGGGACACTGCTGCCTCACACAGAAGCGGGACTGTGTTGCAAGGGCAGGGAGAGACAAGGTTGGATGGGCAGCTGAGACCATGTGCCGTAAGTTGATTTAACATTCCTAGCTTGTAAGATGCATATGTATGCGTTATCCCCATCGCCCCACTCTTTCCCCACACGCTTTAGATTATGATGAAGTAGGTTTATGTACCACTTGCTCTTATAAAATTTTCATCAGTTTCGTAGAACTTTAAAAAGCTGCTATACCCAAAGAGTATTCATTTCCTGGACAGAGCCATTTAATTTAAGGTAAATAACTGGATTACCTGAGTGTTAACTTCCTCCAATGACTTTAAGTTGTTTTCATGCAACCATAAGCCTCGGGGAGAAAGCATAAATGAAGTGCTGCTTTTAGCTGAAAATATGGAGAAAACATTTTAATTTCTCCAACCTATTGCAAACTAATAAATATATGAAAGGAACAACCTGGCAAAATAAATTTGTCTCCTGGGTTATCAGACCATTCTCAGTATCTCGCTGTATAAGAAAATTCAGGGTTTAACTTTGAAATCTCAGTGGTGTGCTTGATGTGAGGAACATCTGAAATGTGTTTTGTTATAGCTGGGAAATGTAGAAATGGTTTATGTTAAATAATACTTTGAACTGAAGACATTAAAGAACCAATCGCTTGCTTTTTCCATTGTTGTTCGGAGGCTGCAGAACAAAACCCCAAAGGATTTTCACTTCAAATGAAGGGCTCCTCTATCCCTTTACAGGATTTCAGAGTCCGTTCAATTGCTTTTCCTCAAAAAAATCTTTGATCAGCAACATCAGATTAACCTAAATCTCAAAGTTGGTAGCAAGTAATTTTCACTTCCACTCAGGACACTCAATATTCACACATTTCAGTTATGCAAGGCAGGGCGACAAGCAGGGCGAAGACAATGTTGTGAAGAGAGCTACAGAGATAAGACACACACAGCACACCCCACACATGCCCCCTTACACACACCACACACACCCAACCCATACTCCCCTACACGCATCACAAACACACACACACACACACACACACACATGCACACACGCACCCACACACTCACACCCCACAACGCTATACAAACCCCCCCACATACACACCCCACACTCACCCCACACACACTGTATACCTCCCACTGACACCCCCCCGACAACCCCACACATACCCCCACCCCACTCATCCCACACACACTACCTGCCCTCCACCGACATCCGACACACACACCACAAAACCCCACAATACCCCCTACACTCACATCTCCACACTCACCCCACACACACGACATACCCCCGCCTACACCCCACCACACGCACACCACACACAGCTCACAGCCCCTCACACACACTCACAATTCTCATTAAGTTTTTAGTAGGCGAAATAATGTTTTACCAGCACGTGACTCTTAATACGCATGTTTCACCATCCACTCTGCTCAATGCATTTCGTTTTTACTGAACTTACAGGAAGGCAAGATCATGCCAGTCAAGGATGAAGAAAATTCTCTTATCTGGGTGGCTGTCGACCAGCCCGTGAAGGACAACAGCTTCTTGAGTTCTAAGGTCTTAGAACTCTGTGGTGACCTTCCTATCTTCTGGCTTAAGCCAACATACCCAAAAGGTAACATTTTAAATTCTTTTAGTGCTGCTGATATGTTTCCTGAGCCCCTCCACAGGCCTGAGCATGTAACAAGGAAGACTTATCAGGACGCAAGTCACAGTGTCTCAGTAATTGGCAAGACAGATCAAAGAGAAGGAAGGTGACAACCATGAATGTTCTAGGGAAGGGACTGAGTGGCAGGGTTAACAGGAAGCAGATCAGGGAGACTCACCATTACTGCGTCATCTGCCATTTTTATTTATGAGACTCCCCCTTCTTTCTGCTCTGCTCCTTAATCTAAGTTGTTTGCACTTTCCAATTTTACATGTTTTTTATTCTGAGGGCAGAGAATCAAGGGCCTAAGAAGCTGTCAGACTGCTGAATCTTTATTATACTCATACCTAGAATTATGAGGCAGCCAAAAGCTGCTGTGGCCATAGGCTGAGATTCTTCAAGTTCAGGGCTTGAGCATCAGCTCCTAAGTCCGCTGAAAAGAAATGAAGGACCCCTGGTTGGAGCATACCTTTGAGCCATCAGTGGGTGAAGGGCAGGTGAGCCCCGAGGGCCAAGTTTCTCCGTCCCTAGGGCACCTTCACTCGTCACTGCCACCAGTCACCCCACTGGCCCCCCAAAGGCTGACTCAGTAGTTCTGGCTCAAGTGTGGGAAAAGGGCCTTTCTCTCAACACAGCTGAGGTATACTGTTTTCTGAAAGATTTTATTGGACACAGAGAGAGCAGCATGGAAATAAAATACAGGCATTAAGACCACTTAGGAGGGGGAGGCTTAGGAGGGGGAGATGGGCAGTTATTTTTGAAAGGGTGTGGTTACAATTCCGCAAAACTGAAGAAGTTATGGAAACAGACGTTTGCACAGCAATGTGAATGCACTCAACTGTACAATCATAAAAATGGCTAAAATGGTAAATTTTGATGTATATGTTACCATAATTAAAAAAAAAAACAAAAAACACAAAACCTGACCAGGTTTAGAAAGTTCAGGCTTCCGGTTCTGCCATGGCTAATTCATTCCTCTGAATCACAAATATCATGTCCCAAAGCTTGGATAAGATGGTTCCTTTCTGGCCCAGGCAAAGCAAATAGGATTCAATTGTTAAGCCACTGGAAGGAGAGTTGAGAAGGATCCTGAGGCCACAGGCATGAGCAGTGTCTGTCACCCCCTAGGGGCCAGAGAGGGGGCGGCCAAATGGAGGGTCACTTTTGCCCTCCCTGTTCTTGCTCCAGGGGGTGCTGGCAACTCGCAATTCTGTGGCCGTTTGCCAAGGTCTAGTTTTCAATTGCTCACCTCCATCCACACGGAATGGGCTTCTTGCTTCCCACCCCCAGGAACTACTCCTCCAATACCTGTCACTTTGCCGCATCAGAGCCTCAGGCGATGCTCCCATGTAGAGCTCTCTCTAATCACTTCCCGTTCGTGAGGACAAGCCTCTTACCCAGTGAGTTCGTTCATTTGTTGGACATTTTTTGAAGGCTTATTGCGTGCCATTTACTTGTGCCAGGTAATTGGGATGCACTGAACAGAAGTTTACATTGTAGCAAGCGAACACACCCTGTTAGGAAACCTAACAGAGCAGGGCAAAGAGGGCGGGGGTGGCCGTGCGAAGGCGGTGCTGGTCTGGCTGACTGAGCGCTTTCACCCTTTGGGAAAGAGCGTGTTCCCTACCTCTGATATGGAGCTTGGTCCCTCACAGCCCACAGGCAGGACCACCTCTTAAGTAGTCAATCATCACCAGACCCATCCCAGAATTACATGTTATGCACAACACCAGAAAAGTGGAAATGCCCCCAGCGATGAAAAGGTTTAAGTAACTGTTGGTACAGCCACAGGGCGGATTATACACATTAAAGATGAAGAATTTTTTTTTTCAGTCTTTCATAAATGTCACATTTAACAATAAAATCAAGAAAGTAAACCCCCTCTGAGGATGTCGGTCCCAACCACCTAATTCTAAAAAAAGCTCCCCAGGGGCGCCTGGGTGGCTCAGCCGGTTAAGCGTCTGACTTGGGCTCAGGTCATGATCTCATAGTCCGTGAGTTCGAGCCCCGCATCAGGCTCTGTGCTGACAGCTCAGGGCCCGGAGCCTGCTTCGGATTCTGTGTCTCCCTCTCTCTCTGCCCCTCCCCTGCTCATGCTCTCTGTCTCAAAAATAAACAAAAACACGAAAAAAAACAAAAACAAACTCCCCAACTCCAGCAACCTCTGTCTTGGATCTTTAAGCTGGCAGGTCACAGAGCTGTATTATCAAGAGACAATGGTGGCTGGGCAAGGTCACAGGGAAGGGTGAGGGTCGCTGAGCGCTGGCTTTGTGCCAGCCATTGTGCTACAGCTTTCTATTTTGTCCTCAGTTACTTTTTGCCAACAACTGTCCTAGTAACTACAAATAGTCCCATTTTATAGATGAAGAAACCAAGGTTCACAGAAATTAAACAGCTTGCCTGAGGTCATTCAGTTAGTTAAAAGAAGTGGTATTGAGATTTGAATCCAGGTCTCCCTGATGCCTCTCCAACCATGAACTCAGAAACCCAGAAGCTGTCTATGGAAGTTCTCCATGGCTCTAAAGCACATCTAAGTTCTCAGAAATAATACAGCATGCTATAATCATCATTACCTAACATTTGAGGGCTTATTATATGCCAAATGCTATAGTAAAACCCTTAGGCACAACTCTATCTTCTGTCACCATTCGGTGAATTAGATACATTATCCCCATTTTACAGATGAAGAAAGTCAGACTCCGAGAGACACCAAAGCCCACATTGGGTGGTTACTTTCCATGTCTGTTATTCAGCAACCATGGGACCCATGTGGCTGTGTGATCAACTAGAGCACTGGGCTGGGAGCCAGAGAAGGTCACGTTTGGCTCCTGTCTCTGCCACCCATTCTGTGATCTTGGCCAAGTCACTTGGTCTTTCTGAGCCTCGATGCCCTCACATATAAAAGTTACTGCCTTTTCTATCCCACCCATAGGATTTTTAAAAGAATCAACTAAGACAACAAATCTCCTAAAAATTGTAAAGCTTTATACATATATAGTCAACCTGTTAAGAACACAGAGGGCTGGAGTGCCTGGCTGGCTCAGCTGGTAAAGCATGTGAATCTAGATATCTGCTTGGAGAGTTCCAGCCCCATGCCAGGCGTGGAGCTTACTTAAAAACAAACAAACAGCAAGGAGTCACGATGGTGGAACAGCATGGAAGTTTTTTTTTTGCATCTCACATCCACGAAATACAGCCAAATCAACACAAATCAACCAAATCCTGATTTGAGGATCACACAACAATCTGCACAACCTGAACCACAGAATTCAGCAGGTATGCGGCGCGGAAAGGTAAAGTGAGGGAGAGAGAAGCTGAGGAGGGCAGGGAGCTCTTTTTTCTTGTGGAGAGAGGATGGAGATGGGGGGGAGGGGGGGATGTATGGGAAAAGTACATCCCCCGCCCCCCCCAAAAGCAGCTGGAGAGAAAGTGGAAAAGTGGAAACAGCTGCAGGGACCAAACAAAACAGGCAGAAAGGAGAAAGGCGAGGGTTTAAATTCCATTAAGACTCTATAAAGAGGGGGAGCACAGAGTCTGAAACTCCACAGCTCGTTACCTGGAGAAGCTCTGGTGGGAAGGGCGAATCCCCAGGAGGAGAGTGAAGTCCAGGGGTTCTCAAGCCACGGGCAGAGGCGGTTTCCCTGCTGGGAGGACATTTGGTAGAATCTGTAGCCACCCCAGCAGACCCCGGAGAACAACCACATTCGCTGCTTCTGGAACAGGACGTTAAGGGTGAAGCCTGGTGCCACATGCATGTTGGGATTTTCCATATCCCTGAAACGCTGCTACACGATGGCGTGAACCTTTTGTGGGGTGGGCTGGCACCCAGCCAGTCTCTGGGCATCGGCAGCAGCAGGGTCCCACAAACGTTCCTGGGTGCGGGCAGCACCTGGCCATTGCTCAGTGAGACCCTCCCCCAGAGGATCTGAGCGGGTCAAAGTCGTAGTCCCTCAGAAGTGAGGGGTTGGGAAACACAGCTGCATCCGAGAGGGAGCCACACTGTAGGAGGGACGTGCCGCCTTTAACCTGATGGCTTGGTCACGAACAATGTAAAAGCAGGGAGTGGACGGAAGCTGGAGACAAAGGACGGGTGTGCGACAGCTGATCGGAGAGAATGGAGTTTGGATAGTAGAGACTGGGCAACTGGGTGACGCCATTTTCACTCTTCCCGCGCATGCGCATACGGACCAACGAGGGCGGCAACAATCCACCCCAGTAAACTAAAGAGCGCCATCTAGTGGAGAATAGAGCCATTACACTAAGCCCCGCCCAACTGAGCCAACCTCGCTCTTCAGGAACACCTCAAGTTTCTCAGCCTGCTTAGTTTGCAGACTATAAAGCGCTTCAGAGTTTGACTTCTAGGGGAGAACGATGTAATTTCAATTCTATTTCAGTCTGTTTGCTGGTCCATCTATCACTTTTTTTTTTTCTTGAATACAGAAAGAGAAAAATTTTATTTTCATTTTCAATTTTTATTAAAATTATTTTTCTACTATATTTTTTACTTTTTTGTAAATTTTTCAAATTCTATTTTACTTCCATCATTTCATTTTATTCTACTTCATTGTATTTTTTCAAATTTTCAAATATTTTCCTCCCCCTAATCTATCAAGCTCCTTTCAACACCCAGACTAAAACACATCTAGGATCTAGCATCATTTATTTGACTTTTGTGTGTATGTGTGTTGTTTTTAATTTTTTAATTTTATTTTTTTTTACTTTAATTCCTTTTTTTCCTTCAAAATGATGAAACAAAGGAATTCACCCCAAAAGAAAGAGCAGGAAGAAACGACAGGCAGGAACTTAATCAACACAGATACAAGCAAGATGTCTGAACCAGAATTTAGAATCACAGTAAGAATACTTCTGGGGTCGAAAATAGATTAGAATCCCTTTCTGCAGAGATAAAAGAAGTAAAAGCTAGTCAGGATGAAATAAAAAATGCTATAGCTGAGCTGCAATCTCGA